AACTCTCATGTTATTCCCTCTCTCCATTTTTCTCCGGCATTTTTGCATCACGGCGTTAGCATTCGACAATCCTCTGTGACTCGCAAATTAGTGCAAAGAGTTGAAAGAAAAAGAAAAATTGATCCATGAGCTTTGCTGATTCTGGTACAAATTATTTATAAAAGGAGAGGGGAAAATAGAAAGAAAAGAGAGATGTTTCACCTTATGAGCAGAGATGTGTTACTGAATATTCTAGGATGCCTATTTTTCTCTGTGCTGGTTAAGACAACTGCACAAACACTGTGCCAGGCCTCCCTAATGGATATAAAGTAAATTATTGCGACATCAATATACCAGATTAAACATGATGACACTCTATTCTGGATGTTTTTTTCTTCATTTATTTATTTTTTGGATATTAAATCACACACAAGTTCAGTGCTGGGATTCGATGCCCTTCTGTGAAAAATGAATCTATTATATTCTTCAGGAGCTTCACTGATGGTCCTTGGTGGTTTGAACAACTGCAGTGATTAATGGCAACATGAATTTTGCAGACACCCTCTACTGGCTTCAAATAGTAACTACTACCGCCTCAAATCATTCACAACATTCACATAACTCTCTCATTCCGACCCCCCCACCCCAAAAAAAAGACCTCATCTTTCTTTTTCCTCACATTTCTTTGATCTAACTGACCACCCCAGACTAAAACTTTCCATGTTTCTCTCGTTATCCCTACATTAAAGAAAATTATTCTCCAGCCTACAGAATTGGGTCAACTGCACCAACATATTACATCATGGCGAAACCTCTCTGCATTTGAGATTACTCCATTACTTTGATGACTGAAGTAATTTGTACATATGATTCAGCTGTATGATCTCGTAAAGTTGTTTTTTTTAAAAACTGACTGTAAGAAAAAAAACCGTGTGAGGCATTTTACTCTTGCGGCATGAAAAGGTGTCAGATTTTATCTTATTTGTTTCAACACCAGCTGCAAAGAGACATTTTTATGCTCAAGGAGACAGAATACAATATAATGAGTAATCAATTCAGGGGGTAGTAGTGGCACATCATATCATTGGAGAAGTACTTTCCTGTTTACACAAGTTTATACTTCAAAGGTTCCCATCTGTTCTCTGCTCCTGTTTGTTTGAGTGTTGTCACTATTAAGACCCTTCTGTCCTCTGGGGAAACTTTGTTTTCGTGCACAATTGCAAAAGTAAAACTCAACTTTAAGTCGCTACATTAAGCAAAACCGTGAACATATTTAAAATCCAGGGCTTAGCTGGGCTGCAGGAAAAGTACCTACTTCATATTTTTCTTTTGCAGTTGGGACATATTTGCTAATTGATTGTGTTCACAGCTTTTTATCAGAATAAATCATGAACGCGGATCTGTTTGGCAACTGGCATCCCGCAGCACATGAATGCATGACAAAGGCAGACTTTTCAAATGCATTTCAACACAGCGTAACATGACTTTGACAAAAATAAAATCGGACATGATGTTCTTTGTAATGGATTAAGTTGTCTGTCATGTCACGCAGACATTAAATGGAAAGAGTGGCTGCCAAGAAAGCAGCAAAAGAGACTGTTGGCAGTAGTCTAAAATAAATGTGGCTCCAGAAAACTGGTACAACATTCAAAACACAGATTTGGTCCTTTAATCTTTGAATTAAAAGATAGTTGCAGTCATATTGGTTTTTTTCCCTTCTGATTCCAAGCCTGTTATTGTCTCTGAAAATCAGCTTCAAAAGCAGCTCAGTCACAACAAGATGAGGATCATTTTATAGTGTTGTTCAAATGCAAATATAACTTAACCTACATTTTAAAATGCATGTTCCTCCAAGTTATTCGCCGCTAATTCAAACCGACAAGAAGCTCACATTATTTTACATTAATTGTGACTTTCCCTTTCTCACTCTTTTTGACATTTTAGCTTTAAGGCATTTTAGAGGGAAAAAGCTGTTATTGGCTTGCTAGAAGCAACCTTGTGAACTCCTTTGAACCCCCTCTTTGCAGTTTTTGAGTGCTACCCTTTTTAAGGGTGTCCTGCCCAGGCTGACAGACACCCGTGACACCCTCCTGCAGCATTAATGCACCGTGAATTCGAGCGCAGCAACATGACATACCGATGAGGGGGGAACTAAAGAACAGACCAACAAAAGATAAAACTATTTGGGGAGAGTAATAATTGTAAAAATAGCTTTTGATTAAATAATGTAGGAGAAAGAGAATGAAATAAATTATATATGTTCATAGCCTGAATTGCATTACATAATTGATGCGCACGGTCGTACATTATGTAGCAACTGTCAACATGTGAAATATGTTTGAAAAAATAATACAAGTGTGATTCTCGAACCACTTAAGGGTGAAAGGGAAGGAGATGCCTGTGGGACAATGCTGGTATCACACTCACCTATAGCTCAGCTTTTCTGTCCTTTTCCTCTTTCTTTAAATCCAGGGTGCAGTTTAACTGCCAGAGAACGTGTTAGGGTGCCTTTAGGGTCTAAACTCCCAAAGGGGGAACAAGATTAGAATGTCAAATGTCATAGCAAACATTAAAAACGTCTCATGAACTACAAGAAAACCGGTAAGACTTGCGCTCCTTTGATATATCAAGGCCTTTGTGTGATGCTCAGGATGATGTTTTAGGATTGAAAAAAACCCGCCTATGACTCTTTTTTTAAAAACTAGGTTGGTCGTGACTATGCTTTTATATGTTTGCAAGTATATCAAAAAAAAAAAAAAGAAGAGGAAAAAAGCCATCACTCGACTGAGTTAGTGCAGTATTACCCTGGGGCATTTTTCAGACTTTGGGGTTGGATATCACAAATGCACCTTAATGGTGTATTATTGATTTGAATGTATTGCCTGTTCCCCTAATTTACATGTTTCAGAAGCCCACAGTGCACTGCATGTAGGGAGGCCAATAAGTGCTGCTGTTCAGGAGAAAATTGAGTTTCAACAGGGGCTGAGATGCGACTGCAAAATTACAAGTACAAACACTCGTCTGATGAAGATCTCATTTTGTTTTTAATACTCTCAAGTCAGGATTTATTGCAAAGAGCATGTCACCCATCTGCTTTGTTTTACTATTATTTGAATGCTATTGATTGAAAAAAAGAAAAAGAAGCACGCACATACACACACACCCACACAAATACACACACTTAGATCCTTTTTATTAAATCCACAAGCCTGAATCATGTCATGATTGATTTCAAAACAGCTGCAAGGCAACGTTTTGGAAAGAAAATCAAGGACATCAAAGCTTTGGCTTTGAGGAGACTTATTGGTAAGATTATGACCATGAATGTGATCATAGCATTTTAATTTTATGGTGTCAATTAATTAAATTTGAACTGATTGCTGTTTGTGCACTGATTTCTGATTGAGTTTGCATATACCCATTACATGGAAAGTAAATTGTCGGAACAGTATATTTAAAAAAAAAACAACAAAAAAACAAACAAACAAACAAACAACCCCCCCTCCCACTGCAGATGCAGTACATGTACTGATTGATTGATTGATTGCATCTGTTCCACCTGTATTCAACTGAGAAAACTCACCTTACCAATAAAATGTTGATGAATGTCTGAAACATGGAGCTTGACCCATGATTGCAGCATAATTAGATGATTAATGTGGATGTGGTGATGCAGTGGTTAGTGGAAAAGGTTGTGGGTTCAGGGTTTCTGGTTGGCTGGGGCCTCTCTTTGTGGAGTAAGCATGTTCTCCCAGGGTATACCCTCTGGGTAAAGGACGTGCATGCTAGGTTGGGCTGTAAGTGTGAATGTGAGCATGAATTTTCTCTATATATCTCTGTGTTAGCCCTTTGATAGGCTGGCAACTTATCCTCCGCCCCACGTCCTATCCAAGACCCTGAACTGGATAAGCTGTTAAGAGGATGGATGGCTTGACGTTTATACATTCACACTAATGTGAGCCACAGTTAGCATCATCCCTATTTAGTATACTGTATGATGTTCTTTTGGTTTAAGAAGATTGACCTCTTCACATAAGGGTCAGTGTGCTGGATCTATTGCAGAAGGGTTTTTTTTTTTTTTTGGAGATTGCATGAGAAAACCAAAGAGGCAAGGGAACTGTTGCGTGATGTGCCAGAACAAGAAAGGGGAGGAAAAAAATGTATTCGTAAACTTCTGTTCAGGTTAACTGCACCTGATCAGTGAGAATACAGTAGGGTCTGGAGTAACTGTCAACCACGATGGTGTTTTGCTGTTCGCGTGGAGGTAGTGCAGCCTGGAGGATCATGCGAGGATGCCCAGGAGGCTGTGGGGGCTTTGAAAAGGTAGGCATTTTGGAGAGGAAGCAGATGGCCCACATTAAAAGCAAAGGGCCCTTGTGACTGTCCTCAATGGCCCTGCAGAGAACTGGGTAATTAAATGAGAAATTTAATCAGATTCCTCAAATTAAATGTCCAGCTGGATAGTTCTGCAAGAACACCACTGACTACACATTTACCTAAGGGAGTATCACCAGTGGATGCATAATTCTCCAATCAGTACACACTTGCACAAGAGGATATTCCAGGTGATGATTGCTGCTAAAGTATTCCATTCACAGTTCTGCCAGCAGGAGGTAAGGGGGCCCTCACTGCGCGGCCACAGAGGGGTCATTTTAATAATAGGACCTGAGAGGAAGCAACAAAACTGCGAGAGGACAGCATTGGTGGGGCGCAATCAGTGGAATTAGCCGGTTGGCTATTATGTTTTCCGCCTCCGCGCTTCAGATAGATATCTAACAACATTTCTGTTTGATGCAACATGTTTTGATGAAACACGTTTTTGTTTTTTTTTTAAATAAGAGGCAGTGGAGTGTCGCGTGGATGGTGGACATAAGCTCTCGATTTCTGAAGTCTTTCTTATCACAGCCACCCTAGACAGAAACCAGCTTCTGGGTCCGTTAGAAGTCATTTTGCATTCAGCAAATCCAAGAACCGCCTCCCCCCCGCGTCTTCTCCTCTCCCTTCGCAGCTCCCGCCCCGTGCAGACTCCCTCTCCCTCTCTCGCTCTCTTTTGCACACACGCAGCCTGTCCGGTAGGATGGGACCAGACCAGTAGCCACATATCCGTGCACGCCTGACCGCTAGTCTACTTCCTGGATGGAAGAATGGGACATTTCCAGCACCACTTTTCTGCTTCGGGCTTCGTCTCGCTGACGCCGCGGATAATCACTTAATAATGACCGCATGTAGTCAATATTATTCGATCACTTTTTTTCTCTCCCCCCTTGCTTCTTCCTCCTGTAGTTAAATACCGCGATTGATCGCCGATTGACCTCGCTACACTTCGGGAATGTCGCTATCTGGAAGCCCGCAGCTGCACACACGGAGGAGTCCAACAACAGATTTTGAACTGTTTTTGCACAGCCATAGCGTGCGTAACGTTTTATTCCTCGAAGCTAAGAGCAGCCTGTGCTCAGACCGGAGGCGAAAATTTTTGTCTTTTTAAAAAAGGAAAAAAGGGGGGGAGGAAGAAAAAGCAGTGACTGTGTCCTGACCGCCAACCATTACTTTGATGCTCTGCCTTCGTGGCCACTGTGCCAACTTCGTTTTAGCTTAGGTGGTGTGCGTGTGAGTGATTTCTGTCTCTCTCTCGCTTTCTCTGGTTGTTCTCTTTTTTTTAAAGAAGAAGAAAAAGACAAACTTTGTCACCCGTTGCCTTCTTGCTGCTCTCGATGAGTAGACTAACATGCGGAGAATACGGGAACCGAGTTACTGGTGGATTTTATCCTTAATGTTTTTAACCTTGCCCAAACACAAAGACTGTCAGCCTGGTAAGTACTCGCAAACACACGCGTTAGCTATCATTTTTATTCAGCCCAACTCCTCCGGTGCCTCGCGCTACAGTGTTAGTTTAGCTCCCCCTTTTCTTTTTTTACCCCCTCCCCTTATATTTTCAAGGGTAAACGGATAAAGGTTTTGCTTGTGGAGATGAAGGGTAACGTTTAGCTTAACGGTTTCAGGGCCGAGCCGAGTTCAACGTCCAGCCGCCGAGACGTTTAGCCTGCGTGATTTGTGTGCATGTTATTGATTAAGCAGCGAGACTATGGCGCAAAGTATCCCTGCGTTAACGCCACACTGAACACTCAAGCAGAGCCGGTTCTAGTCTCCGAGCTGCCGTTTGACCCTTTTCCCTCGTTAGCTGGCTAGTCGCACAGAGCGATTCGGGGTATATGAATGTATGGAAATGCACAATAACATTCCTGGAGGCACTCCTGTGGCTATACTTTATGCCCGGTGTTTCCACGTTGGTGTTTTTTTTTCCTCCTTCTAACGTTGGGTTACGAAGATTGATTTATCCGGGTGCCCTGCAGTTTTATCGCGGGGTTAATAAGTTATTTTACAGACGCACAGTAGTTGTGCTTTTAGTTTATGTGGCGGTGTATTATGTGCTTTTCCTCGCTGTCATGTGCGTAGGTAGAGGCGAGGATGAGGACGATAGTTAGCGCTGTTGGTTCGTGGATGGATGTGCATGTATGAGAGGCGATTAATGCCACTGGAGTACGAATGCAGGTCTGGACTGTAGGCTGCTTGTCCTGTGCAAAAAATAAAAGGAAAAGAGACAGGGATGACTAAATATTGACGTTTTTAAGCGTTTAAGGAGTTGTATCCGTTGCCACAGCTGTTTCAGCCACCCGTTCAGTATGTTTTATTAAATGTGGGAAAAATGACAAAATGTCATGGGTTGCTGAGTGCGGTGCAACACTGGGTCTTGTGGTGAAGCCTGTGTCCCTTTTTTAAATGTTGTTTTCCCACTCGAAGTGCTCTTTGTGGTTGGGGGGAGGTTGGACTTCATTTAGATTCAGGAATCACAGAGGAGGCCGGAGTGAAGGCTAATGCTGGGTTTGAGGTCAAATGTCAAAGGGATTGTGATTAGGTTTTGATTTATATCCCCTTTAAGATGGATCAAAACAATCAGTGGAATGACACACTTTAAGATATTGAAGGTTTTTTTTCCTTTGTGCTTCATGACCCCTCAGATTTATTGATAGGGTAAGGATGATATCTGTATTGTATACCAGGCCAAGAGTGACGTGGAGTTTACAGTTAAAACAGCTGATGTAAGTTTTAAACACATGTCTTATGTTTTAATTTTTTATTACGCTCCATTAAATTGTGATGGGTAGGGGGTTAACTAAAATCTGATTTTTCAGTGGTCAAACTGCAACATGAAAATGTTTCTTAACAACAGCTGTATCTCTGGGAGTGGTGCATTGCAATTGTTTGGCACCTGTAAGCCAACATATGCCAAGACAGCTGCTCATAAATGAACTGATTGGACTAGAAGTAGGTATTGGACAACGAATGCATCTGTAAGCTGACACCAACATTTCAGTTTCCTGGCAATTTGATTTATGAGCGTTACTTCTTCATCACTTCTGTTGTTAGTGCATTAACAAGTGGACAAATGTAAAGTGAATGAAATTCACCAGATAGTGGCAGCTAGCGGGGCAAACGAATCGGCTAATTGGCATGTTAATAAGGTTAACACAATAGTATTGAATGACTAACCACATAAATGAACACCATTCCCCTTTTTTCCCCTTTCAAATGTTTTTTTTTTCTTCAGTTACTCAGCTTTCATCATGAGGATAATTAGATAATTTTTCTACTGTATGATATTGTGAGCATTGTTACCCTTTTATTCCCATACTTAAAGGTATTTAAAGACACAGTACTAGGTGTCATATATCCGAAATGTAGTTTTTAGTGCTAGTGGAGTTATATGATTCTCATTGCCCAATTTGATACCATGGACAAAAAAAAGAGACAAACAAAATGAATATCCCTTGTCATTAAACATTAACTCCTTTATTTTAAAATCATTTCAAATCAATAAGATGGTGGTCAAAGACTGTTTATTTTAAAAATATTTACATTATATTTTATTTGATGGGATACAGACTGAAATTTAAGGATCGTTGCTGGGAAGCCTAGTAGCATCACAATGAGTTACAACAATAGTTACATTAGCTTAAGCATTTCTTTAATGTTAGCCATTACAAACAGTTCAGTCTTATGAAATGTGGCAGATTTCACAACGGCAGTGCCATCAGCCTCGAACATTTCAGGATCGCTACACAAACATGGATACTGCCTTTCTTCTCAGCAAACTAGCTAGAGGTAGAGCACACTAGTTGCCATCTTTTACAGGTGGTTTTTGGTGTGCTTGTTGGGCTGGGGGTGTCTCCTTCTTCTTCTTCAATATGAAACAATGGGTTAGAACAGTTGTAGGTGGATTCTGCCCCCATCAGTTCCAGAAGAATTGCAGCCTTGGTACCTACGTTACGTAAAAAAAAACAACAACCCCAAAACAAAACCAATGAGTAGCGTTGCCTTTTCAGAATTATTGAAAGATGTTGTAAGTATCGGTTCTGGTGACATCCCTGTTCTGTCTTTACAGATGTGGTTCGTAAACAGCTATTCAGAGATTTAAAAACCCATAAACAGACACATTTTTATAGATTCCACCATCATCTGTGCTGTAATACTTAAGCTGTTTACACATATGTCCTCCAGAAAATGTGGAAAAATCAGGGACAGGTGTGAACTTTTAAATATATGTAACACTCAAAAGGACGTTCTCTACATCAGATTTATTCCCAGTAGTGGAAAATGCACAGTTTGATTTTTGTCAAGGATAGAGCATACTTGAGGCAGGACACATGACAACCAACGATTTATGGAAATTCTTTAAACTGGCAGGGTAAAAACCATTTAATGATTTGGACATTTGCATTCGGCTCCCTTGGCGATGTCAAAGGTCAAAGCTGCTGTGCGTGCATGGAAATGGCTTCGCTGTACAAGCATATTAGTGTCTGATACTGTTTAATGGATCCGCTCCTGTGGCACCAATCACCCTCTATAGAAAAGTAGCAGTGATGTAACACTTGAGAATGGTTCCTCCTGCCCCCCCCCCTCTCTCTCTTGCCCCAAGATCCTTCAGTTCCACACTTCCATATCCTCATGTGCTCAGTTAGCTGTTTTATTAAGTAGCAGGCTAAAAAGGCCCCAATTTTCAGTGTCTTGAATATGGAATGCCATCAGGATACATCATTTCTAAATAGTTAAAACGGTTTCTTGTGTTTTGGCAATAGCCATACACCGGTACCAGCTGCACTTTCTTCCTCTCTTCTCCCTCCAACAGGGAGTTGACACATACACCATAGTGTCCACACGGTCCCACCTCCTCTCCCTTACTCACCGGCCTCTACATCTTTATGTATATATCATTCATTGAAATTCAAAAGTCCTTTGCCATCATCAGCCCCGTGGTTTTACAAATGGCTTTGAATATCAGTTCCTGTGTCGTGACAACACTGTTGTTTCAAAAGACGGCATTAAGACCGCACCGGCTTACTGAGAAACCACCTGAAGTTGGGGGAGGATAAGTCCTCCAGTTTCTCTCATCTGTGTTCTTCTGCTATTCTTAGGCTGGTTTACAAAGACGTTACTGCCGAAGTTAACGTGAAAGTATGAATTTTAAAAGGTTAAGAGAAACTATTTGCTTAAAAAAAAAGGATACAAGATTTAAACAAATGGCTGTCAGGGCCGATTTATTTTCATGATAACCTATGCGGGTTTTTTTTTCTTCTTTGGATACAGAGGCAGTTATGCATGTCTTTTCTCACTAATGCAAGCACCATGATTCCACCTCCACCCAAAATGTAATTCTCTTCAGTAAAACGGTGTATATAAAGACTTATAAGAAGATTATTTACTATTGTGTCTTTAAAAAAAGAAACTGTATGGTGTGTGGTTGGACTTGCACCTCTGCATCCATCATAGGAATTGCTCACCGGTAATTATAGAAATTCACTTAAATATGTGTGTAATACAGCCTTGCGATGCAGCTGTGGAATAATTGGTTACACAGGGGGGGAGAGGAAAAAGGACCTTTTAAAAGATTTAAAAAATAACCATGTGCGGCTTAATGGATGTTTTCAAAGGTATTGAATTGTAAAAATGACCCTTTTCAAATAACATCATTGTTGCCTGCTGCAAATAGAATAGTACCGAGCAAACAAATTATTAATCTAATTAATGAGGTCCTGATATACCGCTGGGCCAGCAGGATGCCAGCTGTCTGGACATCACTGAAGCTGGCAACAGCATCATTATCATCAAGGTCCTCGGTATTTTTAATATTTTTTTTCTGGCTAGCTGGTTCAATATGTACAGTACTGACACCGCGTCTCAAAACGGACTCTCGTGGTTTTTAAATAGCATCAGTAACATATGCTCATTCTCAATCTTTGATGGGCTCAGCGCAGTGTTATCTGTTGTCTCTCCACCAGCTGCCTGTGCCACCCACTAAATGCTCCGATGGGGAAACATTGCAACTGTAATCACTTTTCACTTGTGTGCAGCGTGCAGATAACTCGCTGTTTATCCCTTTGCTAGTGATGCTCATCCTTTGCTTATTGCTTTTAAATTTAATGACTAGCTTATCTGTCATTCTAATTAGAGTTTGGGGGGGGGGACCTTAAAACAAGAACGCAGTATTGTTGGTAAAAGTATTTGAACCGTGATTGTTTGAACTACGAGGGAGCCAACTTAGCAACCGGCAACCATTGTGGTGTGCAGAAAGCACCCCAGCGTGTAACCTCTAACTGATCATCTGTGAAAAATGTTCCTCATTTACCTGTGAAATGAGCTACCTTTTTATTATTCCACAGTTTCATGTAGAATTTGTACTTGCTATTAAGAGAGTCAGTTTTGTTTATGCGGCAGCACAGTTGGAATAATAGGACAATTATGTTAAATGCAGGAC